TCTTGAGCTGTCATGTTTTTTCATTGCTGATTTCAAGTAATAACCGAACCATTAAGTTAGAATCAAAACGTGCGCAACAGAGCAGACACCATTCACGGATGATCCCAAGCAGGTGAATTTTCGGTTAGCCAAAACCTGACCCACAAGGCAGCGCTACGGGCAAGGTTAAGTGTCAAAAAGGCCCAATACACCTCGATATTTAATCGAGTTGGTGACCAATGCCACAGTCAAGTTGTGGCTCGGATGCCTCTTTTCGGAACCAGGGTTTTAGCCAATTGATAGAGCCCAGGATGTTAGCCTCTCGTCATCTCACTTCGGTTTGAAACACCTCCGTCACAGAAAATCCTCACTATAGGCTATTTAAGACGCTTGGTCGTATGGGTGCATTTCGCGAGATGCAAGGGAGGGCTGACCAGCCACAACCCGAGACACCAACCCATGACCATACTGAGGCTTTCAGTACTTTAAATCCATTGTTTTTTTCTAAGTTGATAAGAAGTTTTTCAAACAGGATACGTATATTATACCTGAAAACTAAAATGAACACAAAGGTGATCAGCTCAAACGCTTCACTTTCGCTTTCTGTATAAACTTCTAGGCTAGACTTTCTACCAGCCGCCGAACACTAAACAGCTGTAGCGAGTGAGCAGTCGGTGACTTCCAGCGCTAAAGCGGTACTCGATAGTGCTGTTTGCAGCAAGTAACCCGAGATAAGGCTTTGTGAATGTCTGAAAACCGCCGCAACATATGCTAGCGCAATCAACTTTTCATCCGCTTTTGAATTCCATACCACTTTGCAGTTAGCCGTGTTGTGCAACACGAAACGCAGTGAAACAATAAAGCACAAGTTAACATCTATCCGTTTCTCCACCTCCGTGAATGCAGGTTTTGCTTCCCTATCTCTCCATGTCCATTCCGGAACACAAACGCGGTATCATTGTGGTTTTCCGCGAGCAATCCCTACTTGTGGCTCNAACTTCGCGAGCCATGTGCCCTGCAAACCATTCCAATTTTGATCAACCTCATGTTACCCAGGTAATCAACGACAGTATCCTTTTTTAAATTATTCAAAGTCCCTGTTTCACTTCCATTCCAGTGGTATCTATATTGGCAACCGAAATTTATCTGAACACTCAATCGGCCTGTTTCGTTATTTCTTCATCTAGCACATCTGGTCAGAGCTATCATTTGGCAACCGGAGGCAGCACAAACGCAATCATTGCATCTGGCTTTGGGAAACTGTGGCCCCTGGCAGCATCCGGACACCCGCTAAACATCGCTCACAAATCCGAAAACGGGACGGGAACCCGGCCTACAGATACGGCAGACGCTAACCCATTGGTGCCACTGGTACGTGCAGTCAACTGGGTGAGCAAACAAATGGCCACCATCCCCAACGCATACATCAATCGCATTCACACCCAAATACTGATTCCGTTCGCCTCGGGGCTACAAATCACTACACAGCGGTTCGGACTGAGTGAGACCAATCGAACGATGCTCTGGGGCAAAATGCTTACGTGTTTAGCTGAGTATCTGGTCAACGCGTACAGTCACGTGCATGCTTGTTCGGACGAGGGGCGCGGTCAAATGTTACTGGACGTCCGATCCTTGAGAGATTTGGCCGAGTCTGTTTGTAAAATCCGGTGAGCTCTTCTTGTTCTTGATCCCAATTCAAGTGAATCAAATGGTAAAATTGCTTAATCGCTATGTTATTCCGTCAAAAAATACGATCTTTCTTGTTCTCTCAACCGTTTCGATCATCATTCGTTTACCAGGATAATGAAAAGCGTGATTTGCCTTATGGAAAAGCATGTGGTGGTCAAATAAAGGTAGTTAATGGTACCAGAAGGTTGAATTACCTTTTTTATCCTCGAGATGATATTGTAATCTTAATCAAAGTAGTCCAGTGAAACGCCTTTTTATCATACCCTAAATAATGTTTCTACTTGAAGTTATGCTGTGTTCTTCGCTCTATCTATTCATTCACCAATCAGACCATTTCCCAAACTGGATTACGTAACTGAGTATATTCAAGCATTCTACATTCCTGCACACGAATGGGAGCATTGGCTGGCACAGACCGGGATCAAGTTTTCCAAATCACAGCTGACTGGACTAGCCCATTGCTTGGCCAGAGGCGATCGACGTCTACGCCACCGACTCTTAAACACAGTCAACCAGATTTATAACCACGCGGCACCCACCCCAACCGCCAATTCGACAGTACTTGGTTCCATTTCGACTACCAACAACACAACCTCCACGCTGTCCTCCGGTTAAACATATTCGCCTGCTCTTTTCGTCTCCATCTCTTTCCATCTTTTTCACATTCCCACTAGCTCCCCGCACAGGCACCTGTGATTCACCCGAACGTTGTTTTGCTTTTATTTCTTGTCTTGGCTTTTATGGTTTTTGTCAAATTCTGGTACATAAACATTTGCATACACAATTTGCAGTTTTCTCTCTTTGAAATATAATCATTCTGATTCACATTGGTGGGAAATGAAGTTTCCGGTGGTTGTAGATTGGGAGTGGAATGGAGGGAGAAATAAAAAACCTGGCATATACACGGTGTGTGTGTGTGTGTGTGTGTGTAGAAGACCTACGTGTGAACTTGCTCTAGGAGTTTGTGTCATTCGACTGGAATCGAATCATTTCTGCTCGGAATGCAGTAGGATTGCTCCATAGTTGTGCAGCTTGGCCATTCAGCGGGCTTTCGTTGTTCGGTTCTGTAAGGGAGGAATGAAACGGCGGAAAACCAAATGATCACCTGGCGAGGGCACTTCACATATGTTGGTCGCAACTTCGATTGCATACTGAAAACGGTTTTAATAAAAAGTCTCACTCTTCGAACGCGTATCCGTATCGTGAAAGCATTTGCACAAAAAATTATGGTCTAGCAATGAATTTCATTCTATTTAAAAACGGGAATTGAAAAGGAACCACGCCACAGTCGAGTCGACGTTATTTCTGCTCTGGTCAGCAGTGCGAATCTAACAAATCCGGAACCGCACTGGTAGAGTGAAAGCCTAATCTATCCACCAGAGCTCCGACCAGTTGATCAGACTGCTTCACTTTGTGTAACCACGGATTTTGATGAGGTGAGTATACGACCGCTACTGTTGACGTGACTCCTTTTTGGATGAGGTAAAAATCATTGGAAATGCCTGAGAATGACTTTTCGACTATTGTGCTTCAACAGGATTCCTGCACCATTTGTATAATGATATCATTCGGAATGTGACACTGTGCGCCTGGTCTATCGCGTTTGTCCATGAACTTAACTGTAACATGAAAAAATTGGCTTGGAAATAAGGACTCACCTGCAAGCAAACTGCGAATCGAAACCAGAAGGTTTTCCACTGTCAACAAAGGCGACCATTTTTCTTTTAGAATGTCCAAACATATTGTTCCGCGCGGATCGACATTCGGATGATAGCACCGAGAGATGAAACTAACGGTTGGCGGGCTATACGGATAGTTCGGACCGAACTCCATGGACAAGGTGTACTTTTGTCCTTCATATACCTGTGAATAGAACGGAATGGAGAACATAGACGTGAAATAAGATGGGCGTAAACTGGCTTCCAGTGCTCGACAGGGTCATCGACCTGATTAAGCACTTTAGACGCAAACCATAGCATTAATGATGGCCGTTCCTCCCTCAATTCTGATCTGGGCCTTATTTCTGCTTCGGGCTGTCGCAACCGTGTTCTCATCAATGCCAGTAACACTTCCCTGATGGCAATTTCTCTTAAACACGTATCTTTCTCCCGCTCATCAAATTTGGCTTGAACATTCTCCGTTCTACACGTTCATGCAACCTATTGAGACTCCCTTTAACTTGTTCGCTCACCATGTATTTATCCACTTGTTTCTCGCTTTTCCGCGCCAGA